CCACCCTGCAACAAGCTTGCTGAGCCTGTTCCATTGCAGGGCTGCAAAACGCACAGATGTGCTGTGGAAACTGGAGCACACATAATAAAGAAGATATCAGCACAGCAATGACTGAGCCTGAATAATGAATACACTTCTGAATGTCAGATGCTCAGCTGACTCCAGTTTGCTAGAAGAAATCCCTCGTTCAACTTGTTTCCACTAAACCATTGAGGAAAAAAAAAACACTCCTCTCCATTTATAGAAAAAAAAACACTCCTCTCCATTTATAAAAAAAAAAACACTCCTCTCCATTTATAGCTGTTTGTCCATTGCTCTGCTGGAGTTTTCACAATGTATCTTCTTTATCAGCAGGTGGAGTTCAGACTGTTGTCAAAAAGAGGACAGACTAACCAGGCCAGACATGCACATATCGCTGGCTTCAAAACAGGTCACAGAACAAGTAAAGTTAACAAATGGCTGCAGTGTAGAACAGGCTGTTTCTGACCAGGGCTGTACTTCACAGAGACTAAAAATATGATGAGGCCTGGCTGCCAGCTGTTTGGCAGAAACAGGGTTTGCATTTCAACTTTTCTTACGTAAAGATGGGTGACAAATGATGGGGAAAAACCAGCACATGTCGTAAACAAATTCTTACTACTTAAACCAGAAGCCTTCAGAACACCTTTAGTACTCTCTGTCACAAATGCTCAGCATGTTTTAATAATTTAATAATTTGCATCATTTTCATTAAACCACTCACTGAGCCCTTGTGAGCCAAAGGAATCTTAAAGGAGACATATTATGCTAAAGTCACTTTTAGAGCATTTTCTGACATTCATATGGGTCTCTGTAGAGACACAGAACACGAGAAAAGCGCAGTCCCTGCCTGTTTTGCTTTTCCCACATTTGTAAAAACCCCTGCTCGAGCATGCTGTTTGGATTTTTCTCTCTTTATGACCTCATATGAAATGGCGTAGCTGTTCATTTCATAGATCCTCCACCCACTCAGATCCGTTTTGGTGCTACTGGTCCGCCATTGTGATTTTCGCAAACCATTTGCACAAACCTACAAGGTCCCTCAGATCTTCAAATCAGTTTCCTTTAGAGGTTCCTATGGCCAGATACATATAAACGTTGGGGTGACCATGCTTTTACTTTGTTTTTACCAACTTTCCATTGTATTTACAACAATTACAGTACATGCAATCTTTATAAATTTGTGAAAGGAGATGGTACATGTGAGCCTGGCAATCTGTGATGACTGCTGCCGGTTATTTATTTATTTAAATACAAATTGTTGATATTTGATAACTGGTTACACAAACAATTAGCTTACTCAGCTGGTTTGGTTTGGAGATCTGTTTGGTTTTTACTAAATATTGTATGTGAATACATGTAACTAGTAGCCTAATGGAAAACATACAGTAAGTAGCCCTCAGCCACTTTCTTTATATCAGAGTAGCTCTCTGAGTAAAAAAGGTTTGACACCTATGGTGTAGTCACCATTATCATGTCATAAAGCAAGCTTTTGCATGTTTGGAAATTTTACAGGGAACATATTTCAATAATTTCACTCCTATACAGTGTCATTAGTGTCACTGAAGCACAGGCGAGCCAGTAATATCAAACTATCAAATTCAGTTTAACTGCACTGCTCTGGTCTTGGCTTTGACTTGGTCTCAACCCCTTAAAGTCTTGGTCTTGTCTCGGTCTTGATACGCTTTGGTTTCGGTCTTGACTTGGTCTCTGTTTAGGTGGTCTTGACTACAACAGTACCTCCAGTTGAGGCAGACGTGTCAGTTTGGTAACATGAGACCACACACTGTTTAATGGAAGTAAAGCCTCAAGGAAACAAAGCTTCAGAACAGACCACTAAGACTAAAAATCTTCCTTGCATAATTTGAGAAATTAATCTAAATTAGAGTACATCATGCTCCCATCCCAATGTCAGCTCTGCTCTATAATACTCAGTGCACGGTGCTACAGAGCCCTTCTGTTTCATCTTCACAAGCATTCTCCTCATTTTGTAAAGTAATAAAAATGGAACTCCATGTCCTTGGAACCAGGTACACTGTGGACCTGTGAAAACCTATTGTATTGCTCTAGCTCTGTCCCTTTGCTGAGGAAGCAAAGAACACACTGCTGCTAGCTGTCAGTAACTAATCTGACATCAGCACCACTGTGTTCCACTTTAATCCAAGCAGGGACCTGACACACTCATTCATATTAGGAATTAACTGAAACATCCTTCATCTGCTGCAATTTTAGCCTGGAAATATGCTGCATGGGATAAGGTGGAAAAACATACATGTTAGAGGATTATGGGGTGTACTGGCTGACCTCACATTAACCCTGATGGCAATGTATGGACCAGTTTTACTGCGGCACTGCGGATTAAAGATGGCAGCACCTACAACATAGAGCTGGGTCTGGTCATACATTGTAAAGATATAAAGGAAAACAACTTTAGCTTTTAGCTGATTGAATCTGCTGTAACACAAACAATCTACCCGCTCCAGTGATAAAAGACGCACAAGGTGGCTTTTATGAGGGAACTGTACACATGCTGTGTAGTATACAATACACACCACAGGTATGTGTATGCACTTGGGACAGCAGGTCAGCCTCTGGAAAACAACCTCAACTAGTGGTGGCCATCTGGTGGGTATCTGTGAGTGGTTTAATGAATATACAGTGCCTTGCAAAAGTATTCGGCCCCCTTGAACTTTGCGACCTTTTGCCACATTTCAGGCTTCAAACATAAAGATATAAAACTGTAATTTTTTGTGAAGAATCAACAACAAGTGGGACACAATCATGAAGTGGAATGAAATTTATTGGATATTTCAAACTTTTTTAACAAATAAAAAACTGAAAAATTGGGCGTGCAAAATTATTCAGCCCCCTTAAGTTAATACTTTGTAGCGCCACCTTTTGCTGCGATTACAGCTGTAAGTCGCTTGGGGTATGTCTATCAGTTTTGCACATCGAGAGACTGAAATTTTTGCCCATTCCTCCTTGCAAAACAGCTTGAGCTCAGTGAGGTTGGATGGAGAGCGTTTGTGAACAGCAGTTTTCAGTTCTTTCCACAGATTCTTGATTGGATTCAGGTCTGGACTTTGACTTGGCCATTCTAACACCTGGATATGTTTATTTGTGAACCATTCCATTGTAGATTTTGCTTTATGTTTTGGATCATTGTCTTGTTGGAAGACAAATCTCCGTCCCAGTCTCAGGTCTTTTGCAGACTCCATCAGGTTTCCTTCCAGAATGGTCCTGTATTTGGCTCCATCCCTCTTCCCATCAATTTTAACCATCTTCCCTGTCCCTGCTGAAGAAAAGCAGGCCCAAACCATGATGCTGCCACCACCATGTTTGACAGTGGGGATGGTGTGTTCAGGGTGATGAGCTGTGTTGCTTTTACGCCAAACATAACGTTTTGCATTGTTGCCAAAAAGTTTGATTTTGGTTTCATCTGACCAGAGCACCTTCTTCCACATGTTTGGTGTGTCTCCCAGGTGGCTTGTGGCAAACTTTAAACGACACTTTTTATGGATATCTTTAAGAAATGGCTTTCTTCTTGCACCTCTTCCATAAAGGCCAGATTTGTGCAGTATATGACTGATTGTTGTCCTATGGACAGAGTCTCCCACCTCCGCTGTAGATCTCTGCAGTTCATCCAGAGTGATCATGGGCCTCTTGGCTGCATCTCTGATCAGTCTTCTCCTTGTATGAGCTGAAAGTTTAGAGGGACGGCCAGGTCTTGGTAGATTTGCAGTGGTCTGATACTCCTTCCATTTCAATATTATTGCTTGCACAGTGCTCCTTGGGATGTTTAAAGCTTGGGAAATCTTTTTGTATCCAAATCCGGCGTTAAACTTCTCCACAACAGTATCTCGGACCTGCCTGGTGTGTTCCTGGTGTGTTCCTTGTTCTTCATGATGCTCTTTGCGCTTTAAACGGACCTCTGAGACTATCACAGTGCAGGTGCATTTATACGGAGACTTGATTACACACAGGTGGGTTCTATTTATCATCATTAGTCATTTAGGTCAACATTGGATCATTCAGAGATCCTCACTGAACTTCTGGAGAGAGTTTGCTGCACTGAAAGTAAAGGGGCTGAATAATTTTGCACGCCCAATTTTTCAGTTTTTTATTTGTTAAAAAAGTTTGAAATATCCAATAAATTTCGTTCCACTTCATGATTGTGTCCCACTTGTTGTTGATTCTTCACAAAAAAATTACAGTTTTATATCTTTATGTTTGAAGTCTGAAATGTGGCAAAAGGTCGCAAAGTTCAAGGGGGCCGAATACTTTCGCAAGGCACTGTATGTCTGGGCTTGCACTGCTCTCTTTATGACCCAACTGCATTTAAATAAAAGCAAAATCCTCCAGAATGTGTTATTTTACTGTGCATCCATCTGCTGTCATGATCTACATGAGCTTCTTTTCATATGGTGATGCGCATACATGTGAGGAACCACACCTGAGCTCATCTACGAGTTGTTGTGTGAGTCTACAAATGTGTGTCAGAGTGTGACTCCAGTGGAGGGTGAAGAATCATACCTCTGGTTTTCAGCGTATCAGGACCTTTACTTCCTCCACATTGCTTTCTGCGCCACCAAAACAGAGGCCCTGCAGGTACACAGAGATGCTCAGTTATTCAATGTCCCATTCAATGAAACATGAATATCAACTGCATGCCACCGTATTTCATGCTTCTTTGTGAAACTGGGTCTTGCAAAGGTTTCCCAGAATGCTTTGGGATGATGCCAGGGGAGTGTCAAACTTGTATTAATGCAGCTTTTTTGACCTATTATTATGGTGATAAAACATGAAACACTGTGATGAAAGACAAAGACAAGGTCAATAAAAAAAGATGGTGGTGTGAACGAAAGCAGTGGCCCCTCTCTCTCCGAGTTGTGTGCCTAAAAAAGTGTGTTATAGTGCATGTTTGCATTTGTCGTGTTTATGTTCTGGTGTGCGTAGTTCAACGTCTACGTTGCGCTCAAGATACAGTTGCCACTGCCTTATGGATAAAGGGAAGTCAAAACATTTCAATTTGGACCAGGAAGTCACAGAGGAACTTCGAGGCCTGGGGCTTCTCCGCCGGATTCCTACATCACCGGGCACACTGGCTACATCACTCCCTGAGAGGAGGTGCCGAAAAAAGTGTGAACAGGAGCATAAGCGGGGCAAGCGTGGAGGCATCCAGGTTAGGCTAGCAGCTTGTCCACACAGACCCACGATACCATCCCTCATTATGGCCAATGTACGCTCACTGGACAACAAAATTGACCACATACAGCTACTGAGATCTGTCCAGCATGATGTGAGGGACTGCTGTGTTTTCATTTTTATAGAGCCATGTCTAAACGACAACATCCCGGACTCCACTATCCAGCTAGATGGGCTAACATGCCACTGAGCTGACCGAGTCCTTGTGGAAGGAGGTAAGACTCGTGGAGGGGGAGTTTGTGTTGACATCAGCAATGCTTGGTGTCGGGATGCTGCTGTTGTTCATAAACATTGTTCTCCATTGGTGGAGTTTATTATCATCAAGTGCCGGCCTTTCTATCTATTTAGGGAGCACGCAGTAATTCTGTTGACTGTAGGGTACATGCCTCCCACCAACTGAACTCAGGCCATCAGTGAACAACAGACAGCACACCCAGACGGATTCCTCATCACAGCTGGGGACTTTTAATCATGTGGATTTAAAGGTTTTATTGCCCAAACTGCACCAACATGTAGACTTTCCAATGAGAGGAGGCAACCTGTGCTGACCTTGTGTACACTACATGCAAGGGAGCATACAAGGCCTCCCTCCTCCCCCACCTGGGTCTCTCTGGTCACATCACCATCATGCTGAGACCTGCATACAGACCCAGAGTGAGAGCCATCATCGTCCGATCTATCGGCCTGTAGCACTGACTTCAATTATTATGAAGTGCTTCGAGCGGCTGGTCATGCAGAACGTCAAGTCCATCCTTCCTCCCTCTCATGATCCATTTAGTTTGCATACAGGTCAAACAGGTCCATAGAGGATGCCATTTCTGCTGTTCTCCATCCAGCCCTCACCCACCTAGATTCAAAGAACTCTTATGTGCGAATGCTGTTCCTAGACTTCAGTTCAGCATTCAACACAATCATTCCCCAGCAGCTTATACAAAAACTTGGACACTTGGGACTTTCTAACAAGGAGGCCACAAAATGTGCGAGTCGGCAGCAACATCTCAAAGACCATCATGCTGAGCACAGGGGCTCTGCAGGGGTGTGTGCTCAGCCCATTCATTACCCTTCACGCTGCTGACCCATGACTGTGTGCCAACCTACAGCACCAACCACATTGTCAAGTTTGCGGATGACACGACTGTAGTTGGCCTCATTACCAACAATGATGAGGCCAATTACAGGAGTGAGGTGTGCCAACTGGTCCAGTGGTGTAAGGACAAAAACCTCTTCCTCAATGTGAGGAAGAATAAAGAGACTGTTGTGGACTTCAGGAGAAAACCTCAAAAGCATCCCCCACTGACCATTGTGTTATATAAATTTTTCTGCAATATTTCATGGATTTACTTGAATGATCATGATCTCCTGGCTGAGCGCGTTCATATGAGGTTGCCTGACATCCACCTCTGCCATTTTAAAAATGGGATTTTTTTCAACTGCACACAGTTTTGTGGATATTTAACCTAAATATCCCGTGTCATTTGGCAGTGGTCTTTTCATTTCAAGAAGCATGTTATTAAAATGAGGCTGTGCTTTACAGGCAAGAAGTATAACCTGCAATACATCCATTATGGCAAAACAAACCCATTCAGGAGTTAAAACATAAAAGGTGATTCCATTCTGCTTGCAGTTTTACCATTCAGCTGATGCTTTAAAGAAAGCCTTTCCTAACTCCTACAGCGTGACAGAACAAGTCCACTATACAATCTCAAAACCGCGAGGAAAGAAGTGCAGGGAACAAAAGTGCAGAACACATAAAGGACATCTCTGATGTTCTACATGGCAACTTTCATTCACAGTGCAAGAGAAACTGCCACCAGTGTGGATAAACTTTAGAGTAGCTGCCAGCTCGTTGACCGACAGCACATTTACACAGTGGAGTCCTTGTGTGGCAGGAGGGCCAGGAGTTAACTGCATGGCGCTCACCCCAACTGCTTTTTATTTATAAAAGATGCGCTCTTTGCTGCCAAATATTAGAACCCATTAGCTCCTGATTTGACTCAGGCCTGCTAATCTAATTTAATCTGTCACCATGGTGTCACTGATTGCTGGAGTGTAGCGACAGTGATGCTGCAAGTGTATGTGGCTTCGCTGATGTGATGCAACAGCAGACACCCACATGGAACACTGCTGCTGCTGGTGTGTGTGTGTGTGTGTGTGGTGGTCGGGTGTCCAATGCATGAACGTTTCCTGTTATTTGTTGTACTGGGACTCCACAGATGCAATGGTTCATTTGATCAAAGTAAGCTGATTGTATCTGTACAATTTCACTACCTGTGAAGCAGACGATGGTGGAAAAAATAGTAAAAGTTGAGATTTTTGTGCAGCTTTTTATTTGTAACAGTCAGAGTGTTGCTGAAGATGTTATCAGTCAGTGTCATGGTGCCACAGTCATCTGCCTGACCATACACACAGCCTATTTTTAAAAACACTTTCCCAATTTAAAATCCCCCATTATAAAAGCTGACTTGCAGAGATGAGAATGTAGACAGTGAGTGGCGGAGTGTGTATGCTGCTAGAAATGAAGCAAAGTGCGGACCGCTCTGGCACTTTCTACATGCCTAGGCTGTCTGTTTATGCATAAATGGCAAATAAAAATCTTGAATCCTTGAATCTTGGACTTTTGTCTTTTAATATGTAGGACAGAGCAAAAGAGACAAAGCAGAAGAGAAAAAAATGAGAAAGAGTTAAAAAAAAAAGATAATGAGGACAACAGGTTGAGAAGAGATCTAGGTTGACACACTTCCTTTCCCCTTAACTCTGTGGTTATTTTCTCACACGCACAGCAAAGGACTTCATACATCAATACGCTCTGTTCTTATCAAGTCAGAAAGTACATTTTAAAATAACTGTTAGTAAAGCAGGATGTGAGTTAATTACCAGTAGCGTTCAAATGTTCGGTCAGACAGAAAATAGCTTTTTCAGTAGATTGTTTCAGGCTGTTTGATGCCATCTATGTAGAAGAACTGTGACAGTGTCCCAAAATACTCCAGCTGAGCTCAGCGTGTGAATGAAACAGTCTTCTTTACCAGCAGAAAGCTGCCATTTGGCTGTCCCACATGTCTGTGTCCACTCTATGGACTGTTCCTCTCCCACACGCTCATCGTGTTGGCCCAGGTAGTCATGGCGACGAGCCCCCAGCAGGCTTTTCTCTTGGACCTGGAGGGAGCACTGACGCTCTGTTTTCACCAGCAGCCCACTCCAATAAAACGTAATGGCAGTGGGCTGCGGGGGAAAACCATGCAGTTTTATACACAGGACTGTCACATGACCAGCTGAGCACAACGGGCTTACTCTTCCGGGTGCTGCCGGGACAGATGAGAGGGCCGCTGACCTGGCCAGACCCAAGAGAGTCCATACAGAAGGGACCGGACTTGATGTGCTGAGCTCCTTCTGGGGGACAGTGGGCAGGAAGGCAGGCATACCAGGGATCAAGTAGAAAAATCTGCCCTTGTGCAGATTTTTGATTCTCTGCACAGAGTTAAAGAGTACTTCATTGACTTAGTTCTGCAACTTTTCATAAATCTTAGGGACTTGTGAGAAAATTATTTTTTTTAATTGGCCAAAGATGAAGCATCAGAGTCTGAAATATCCACAGTATTACTTGACATTATGGGTCAAGCTCTAAAAGTAATAAATTTCCCATAATGCAAGGGAGCTCTAATTCTAAAGTATTAGTGTTATACAGGCGGCACAGTGGTTAGCGCTGTCACCTCATAGCAAGAAGGTTCTGGGTTTGAGCCCCAGCCGACCCAATGCCTTTCTGTGTGGAGTCTGCATGTTCTCCCTGTGCCTGCATGGGTTCTCTCTGGCTTCCTCCCACAGTCCAAAGGCATGCAGCTAAATTGCCCATAGGAGTGAGTGTGGGTGTGTATGGTTGTTTGTCTCTAAGTGTGATAGACTGGTGACCTGTCCAGGGTGTCCAGGCTGTCTGCCTCTCACCCAATGTCAGCTGGGATTGGCTTCAGCCTCCCTGTGACCCTATTCAGGAATAAGTGGTATAGATAATGGATGGATAGTGTTATACAGTATGTCCATGCTTCATATGTCTTTCCAGGTGCTTTCAAATTCATACACAGAAAAAAAGACGAGAGATTTGAGCAAACCAGCGTCTCCTCCTTGTATTCACTTTCCTTCTGTCCTTTCCTTGCTACATCCAAGTAGGAGCCAGGCAGGAAACCTCGCTGAACAGGTCTCTTATATTCTTTGGTGACCAGGGCCAAGCTGGTGTTGTCCCTGCTGTGAAATGAAATCAAGTCTCTGGTGATGGTGGGCAACTACTTTTGCTCTGTGCTGTGTTCAGACATGCCATGCTATGTGCAGTTTAACATAAAGCTTGCCACCGGCCACCCACTTCTGGTTCATTTCAGGATTAGCCTCTGAAGACTAAGTAGGGCACTTTG